TACGGCCGTCCCACTGCTCGCCCCCCCCCCCCCCCCCTCCATGCACACCATGCTTATCATGCACGGAGGTTTGTGGGCGTGTGCACCATGGTAGTCCGCTGCTAGTTGCTGTTCCCCAAGACGGCTGCGCATGCTGTTCTCAAACGGGTCGGTGGTACCTTGCAAATGGCTCGGGGCCAATGACTCACTTTTCTTGCGCCACCTACTTCATCCTCGCTCCACACTCACCCGCCATCATCGCAACTCGACAGGACGTACACACACGTCAAGCGGCCGTCGCAGCTCCCGGGTGACTCCAACTACTACCTCTCGCGCGATCATCACTACCCGATGTGGGAGGCGTTCCCCAACGGCGGCGCGTGGAACATCAAGCTCGACAAGCGCGGCGATGTGATGGACCGCATGTGGGAGGAGCTCTTTCTGGCGACCATCGGCGAGGCGTTTGGCGAGCCCGACGTGGTCGCCATTGTGCTCGCCATCCGCTCGCAGCGCAACTTTCTCTCGGTGTGGAACGCCGACAACATGAACCATGCGGTGCGGTTCCAGATCTCTGAGACGCTTCGTGCCCTCTTCTCCATCCGCGGTGTGACCGACTCGCTCGAGTACAAGTCGCACGCCACGTCGATGAAGGACGGCTCGACCTTCCGCAACGCCATGACCTACCAGTCGGTCGTCACCCAGGAGCCGGCTGCGAAGAAGAACCCGACCGAGGCCGCCAAGGCCGCAGGCACCAAGCCACCGCCCAACTCGCCGGCAAAGGTCGCAAAGGGCAGCGCCAAGGCTTAGCCTCGGCAAAAAGTAGTAACACCGCTCCGCCTCTTTGTCCCGTCGCCTTTATGCCCCCCCTTGTCCTCGGCTAGAACAGAACCCCGGCCTCGGCCTGTGCGCACTGGCTCCGGTATCTCGTCGCCTCGGCCGAGGCCAGGACTGAGAGCTGGGCCTCCTCGCCGCGGGTGATCGTGAGCGGCTCACGAGCGCGCGCCGCCTCCAGGTGTGCCCGGAGCTGGGCAACTCGTGCGTCACGCGCTTTGAGCATGTCGAGCGCCGCAGAGGTGAGCCGGCGGTAGTGGGCCTCGACCCGCGCGACCTGCGACGCTGGGACCAGCGTCTGGGCCACATCCCCGTACGCAAGCGTGTTCTCCAGCTCACGTTGGGTTTCCTGCAGCTCGGCAAGGCGCGCTTGCAGCCGGTGGGTGACCTTGGCAATCTGGTTGCGGAGGCTCGCGATCTCGGGCACGTCGTCGAGCGCAGGGCTGGCCCCGTCGCCACCGGCAGTCACCGCCCGCGACACCGTCGAGCGCAGAACCCGATCCGGCCCGTAACGAGCGTAGAGCACTGGATCAACAACCAGAAACTCGGCGTCGGCTGCTGCCGCGTACTGCTTGTGGGCTAGATCGCGGGTGACGCGGCTGAGCACTGCCCATAGCCGCTGGGTGCCGACAACGTCGTGCTCGTTAAACGAAGCCATGAACCGCAGGGCGCGCAGCGCTGTGGAGTAGTGTGGCGTATTGAGCACACCCTCCTCGAGCAAATCATAGTGGGTGGTAATCGAGTCGAGCACCCGCGACCGTGCGCTGGTCAGCTTTCGGCGGATCCGCGACCGCGCGCTGCGCTCGCTCCCGTCGGCGCGCGACCGCCGCGACCTGCTCCGTGCTCGGCTGGGCTCTCGCCCACCACCGTCGACATTGACCACGATAAGTGCCTCTTCCGACGACGATAGTGGGTCCGAGTCGGACGAATCAAACTCGCCGCGCTCAAGCGCGTCGAGATCAATGCCAGCGAGCAAGTTGTTGAGCGCGCGCAAGTCGCGGCGCGCCTTGGTGCCGAGCACCAGCGGCGGCGCAGCCGGTCTGGCTGCAGTGGCCGACATGGTCTGTGGAGGCCGCGGCGGCATGGCCGCTGAGGGAGGTTGCGGCGCGGGCGCCCGTGGCGCCCGAGGCGGCGGCGGCTGGTACGGCCGCAACGTCGGTAGCTCCGGCTGGTAGACAGGAGCCGGTAGCGCCCGCTTCGACGAGCTCTTCCTGAGCGACTTGCGCGAGCTGGATCGAGCCATGCCGTCACCGCCGGTAGGCGTGCCGCCAGGATCCATCTGGGAGATGAGCGCCATGAGGTCGGCGGCGCTGGAAACACCAGCGAGATTCCGCTCGGCCCGCGGATCGTCCGATCCGGTGGCAGAGCCGGAGCCGGCCTCGTCAATGCCTTGCAGCAGGGCAAGGACATCGTTTTGAAGCAACTTGGTCTCAGACCGCCGCAGCTTGGCTGGCGGCGCCGAGCCGGGCTCCGCTCGCATCCGCTCGCGTACGCTGGAGCCTGTCGATGACGCCTCGCCGTCCGAGGGCCGGCCGAGATTCTGCAGCAACGACGAGAGCAGCTGGTCATTCTGGCTCTCGGCCCGCGACGGAGCTGCAGTCGCCGGTTGGCCCTCGCTCCCGCGTTTTGACCGTGAGCGACGGAGCTTGCGCGGCGGCGGGACAGCGAGATGGGCCGGGTCTGGAGGTGGTGCCCTCGCAGCAGCCGATGGCGGCGGGCGCGGTCGGCGCGACTCGCCCGATGTCGAGTACTCATCGGGCGGAATACCGTTGATCAGTGCCTCCAGCTGCGGGTCAATACCAGCCGAGACCGAGTCGTTGCCCTTGGACGAGCCAGTAACAGAGCCTGCTCCACCGAGCAAGGCCAGCAGATCGTCCCGTCCATGTGCACCTCCATCAACGTCCAACTCTGACTCGTCCGACTCGAGCTCAGCCAGCATCCTCGCCAGCTCAGCACCGCCACCATCGCCGCCAGCACTGCCCCTGCTGCGCTTGTCCGGTGGAGCACTGCGGCCCTGGTTCCGCGAGTCTGACTCGGACACCTCCTCATACTCGTACACCTCTTCGTACTCCCACGACTTGGACATGGCGAGTCCAACGCCAAGCACAGCCAACCGAGACGAGACGTCCGCCACAGCCACCAAAGGGAGCGAGGTTGTAGGTAGTGGAGTGGACAGGTGGGTCGATGGGTCGGTGACCGTGCAGGTGGTGGCAGTGGCACTCCGGAGGGGCGCTGGTCGTGGCTGAGGGCGGGGGCAGGGCGGGGGCGAGGGGCTTGATGATGGACATGGACCCGATCGTGCGGGGATGATCGGAGGGGGGGGGGAGAGGTTATGACAGGCCAAGGTGGGAGCTATGTCATCCATACCTCAGGCAGTGTGTGGTGTGGTAGTGGGTGATGGTGGGTGGTGGGTGATGGAGGATGGCCACACAGGCGCAGGCGCACAAGCGGCACCACCGCACTCGGGGCCGACCATGGCCATGCCCGAGCCCTCGTCCGTGGAGGCGCTAGCATCTCTAGTTCTGGCGGTAGAGACCACAGGCGCACCCGACCCTAGTCTCATTGATGCCCTGTTCGAGATGGTACGTCGTGATGTCATGCCTGTGGTAGCCGTAGTGGTGGGGACGGGGGGGGGGGGGGGGGGAGGGGGAGGGGGGAGGGGAGGGGTCGACCTACAGTGGGCGGACAGTGGGCGTGGTGGGGGGAACGGCGACGGAACCATGGCGGACTGGTGGAGAACAGAGCATTGATATCTATGGCAATGTGGTGCAGGGATCAGAACATGGCGATGCGTTCCGGTTGATTCTGCTGCTGTTCCCCTCGCTCTCGCTCTCGTCGCAGCTTGCTGTTCTCGGCAAGTTCGAGCGGCTGGCTGCAACCTCGTTTGCCAACCTCGCCGCGCTGACCGATGACGATCTGGGCCTCATCCCGTTCTTGGTCTCGCTAGCGAGCGGCCAGACAGAGACGGCGGCTACGAGCGATGCTGGTGCTGGCGGGGCCATTGCATCGCTGCTCTCGGCGCTACTGCTGTACGACGTGCGGGTCGCCGACGTCACTGCCCTGCTGCGGGCGCTCAAGCCGACAGCTCGCGGTTTCCGTCCTCCTGGTCGCAACCACGTGCTGGCGACGCTGACAGCGGTCCTTGGAAAGCCGGAGGATCCGCCGGTGTTTTGGGCCTTTGACGGCCGCGACTCGGGCCTGGTCCTCCCGGATCTGGCCGGCTGGCCCACTGCTGGCTACTCGGTTGGACTCTGGCTGCGGGTTGAGGAGTTTTTGGGTGGTTCTCGGGTCTTCTCTTTCCTCTCCGACTCGGGCGCTGGCTTTGAGGCATGCTTTGCAAAGCCTGATGCTGCCGAAATCGCCTCGGGCGCCGTCGACGCCAACGGTTTTGTTCTCGTTGTCCGCTCCATCTCAACAAAGGGCAAGGACAACTACGAAGCCGGTAAGTTTGTGTTCTCGCTGGGCACGTGGTACCATGTTGTCGTCACCCACCTCTCCAAGACCTTCTCGAGATCAGCTGTCAACATTTACGCCAATGGGGAGCTTGTCGACACGCTGGCGGTCAAGTACCCTTCGCTCAAGCACGTGCCCATGACCCAGTGCTCGCTGGCAACCAACGTGGCCGCCATCGGCGCCGGTCGCGCCGCACACTCGCTTCATGGACAGCTCGGCCCGGGCTACCTTTTTGCGCGGGCTCTCACTGCGTCCGAAGTCGCCCTGCTCTACGCGCTTGGCCCGGCCCGCGTCGTCGCCTTTCCGCTTGCCGGCGATGCGTCGTCATCGGGCGCCGCCGCTTCTGCTGCCTGGCCAGCCTCGGGCCTGCCTCCCTCGGGCCTGCTCTTTGCTTTTCACCCGCGCGGCTCTGAGAGCTCCCTCTCCACCACCGTGTACAATCTCGCCCAGCGGCCGGACACGCTGGTTAACCAGGACGCCCACGGCGCCCTGCTCCGCGGCTCGGAGCTGATGTCGGGTACGAGGCTGCGCCACGTCTTCAATGCTGTCGGCGGCCTTAGCCTCCTCCTCCCGCTCTTTGGCCAGCTTGACCTCCCACCGGCTCCGTCGGACGCCTCTGGTGCGCTCGGCCCGCCGCTGACCGAGGTCGACGGCGCCGCCCTCTGGGCCCTCGTCGCCCAGCTTGCCATCCGCGACCGCTCCGCTCAGCTCGCGCTCGCGACGCCGCCGACCATGCGCCTTATTGGCTACCTGCTCACCACCTGCGCTCCGGCCGCGCTGGGCGCCATCCTCCTTCCCACCCTCCCGGGCCTGCTCGACTTTGCCGCCGCCGCCGCGCCGCCGCTGCGCTTCGAGCTCCTCGACAAGCTCCTGTTGCCGGGCACACTCTGGAGCCACGTGCCCGATGATGCCATGCGCGCCCGCAACGCCCTCATCTCCGTCCGAGTCAAGGCCTCGCCGGCCTACTTTCGTGCGGCCTTTGGCGTTGGCTACTTTCTCGATGCCATTGCTGACGCCTACCTCGACGTCCCGGAGCGGGCGCTTGCCCGCCTCGCCACCAGCTCTGGCGCCGCGCCGCCGCTTGCCCGCTCCCCGGATATGCTCCGCGACACTCGTCGTGCCCTGCTCAAGTCAATCAAGAACATGGTGGCCGGCGAACATCTGGACGAGGCCGAGCTCGGCGCCCTGCTCCGCTTCCTCATCACCGTCAACGACCCCGAGGCACTTGTCGAGGTCCTACAGCTTGTGTTGGTCCTTGTCCTCTCCGGCCCCTCGCTCGCCGAGTGGCTGGTCCCGGTCTCGCCGCCGCCACGTGCACTGGTCGCCCTCTTTGCCACCCTCGATCGGCTGCTCTCGGCCGAGGCATCGGTCCGGACCGGCCTTTTTGCGCTCAAGGTGGCGCTAGCGATCTTTGTGGCACTTGCCCGTGCCTCCTCGCCCAAGAAGCTCGCCCGGTTTGTGGCCGCCACTGGGTTCGGCCCGGCTATGCTCGAGCCTGCGCTGCGGACCATGACCTTCTCTCCGCTCGCCTACAACATCCTCATGGCTGCCGTTCTCGGTGATGTCTCGCTCCACCTGCAGGAGACCGCGCTCACGCCCGGCGTTCCAGTTGTCCTCCCGAGCCTCCTCCCGATGGTCCTGGACCTTGTGGCGCGGTCGACGTCAGCACGAATCAAGGAGCAGGCGCTGCAGGACCTGCTGCTGCTCGCGCGGTACTCGGCCGAGACCCGCGCGAGCCTCATCCAAATGGCCGGATGGGAGGCCAAACTAGCAGGCGTGGTCATGGCGTCGGTGCTCAACACGGCTGCGGCGGCTCCCGAGCTCGGCTCTGAGGCTGCAAGCTGTCTTGACGCGAGTGCACTCGCCCGGAACGTGGTATTTGAGCTCGGCGTCAACGTATTTTTCCTCCTCCTTCGCGATGCGCTCGTCGCCAAGGGCGGCGCCCGGGCCGTAGAGCGATCGTACTCGGCCCTGCTCGCCTTTGCCGCCGCCACCTCGTCGGGACTCGCTCCGACCTTTGTTCACTCGCTCCTAACTGCGCTCTTTATCAAGCTCCTCTCCAGTGCCACCCAAGCCACCGAGGCGGTTGCGGCCGTTGCGCCCGGTGCAGGCTCGGCAGCGAGCTCGGGTAGCAATCCGTTTGCTGAGGCCGACCACCATGTCGCGGTCCATCCCGGCGCGAGCGCGCTCGGCGTCGAGCTGAGTGGCAAGGCTTTGGCGTCGCTGCGGGAGAACATGCCCGGCATGGTGGCGCTGGTTGAGGAGCTGGTCTTTGCCTTTCCGTTTGTGCACATGGGGTCAAGCGCCACGCCGCCGCCCACCTACGACGGCTCGACTGGTGCGAGCAGCGCGGTTCCGCCACCTACGTACGGCGGCGGGCCGTCACGCTCGCAGCCAGCGCACCGCGCGAGCGACAGCAGCATTCCGCGTGATGCCCAGGGTCGCTGGATCCTGTACGAGGTGGCATGCGCCGCTGTCGACGCCGCGCTCGCGGTCCTCGTTCCACTTCCGCCCGGAGCTGTGACGACGCCGCCAGTGGCGACGCTCGGCGAGGGCGTGGCCCGCGGGCTGGGCCGGCTACTCGTCGCGGCCATGCAGCAGGTCGACTTTCAGTTTCCGGATGACTCGCGGCTGATGCAGCTGCAGAACGAGCTTCTGACGTCGGCGGTGACGCTCGGCACGCCGGGAGGGAGCGCATCCAAGTCGACTGCGGTCGCACTGCACGACTACTCCAAGGCCGGCGAGCTCCATCGCGTGGTGTACTCGCACCTGCGGTCCAAGCTCGCGGCGCGGTCCAAGGAGGCTCGGCGCAAGACGTCGGCCTACGAACGGCTTTTGCGGCAAGGCTTGGTGCTGATGTGCGGGTGCGGTGAGGCAAGCGCGCTGGCGGCCGGGCGCGTGGCGCCGGCGCCGGCGCTGTCAGGCATGCGCAAGGGCGTGGTGGCTCAGGCGCTGAGCTTTGCGCTGACTCTCCTTGTGGCGCCGGCGACGGCCTTCCAAGCCGAGGAAGCGATTCAGGGCGTGACCCATCAGTTTGCGGTTGGAGTTGCGGCCGTCCACCGCCCGTCACTGGTCTCGCTCGACGTGGACGTGAGGCGGGTAGACTGGCGCGATGCCCAAGTCTCGGCGCAGGTTGCTGCCTTTTGTGCCGCGGTCGGCGAGGCTGTGGACGCCGCAGGCTTTGAGTACGGCGCCGCGGTGGGCGAGACCCGGCATGCGGCCATGCGGACGGTGCAGGCCGAGGCGAGCCAGGCCGAGGCTGTGACGTGGAAGGAAGTCAAGCTTGCGTCGGCGCTGACAAGCGGGTGGCTTGGCGAGGCAAGCGCGCGCGAGGCCCAGCGACGCGCGCTCCACTGCCATGCGCTAGTGTACGATGCACGCGACGCGGCCCGGGTGTGGGCGAGCGTGTTCAAAACTCTGACACTATCGACAGCGTCGTGGGCGGTCCCGCGCTCACTCCGCAAGTTCTCGCTCGACTTGCGCGAGCGCCCCAACCGCGTCCGCATCCGGCTTGTGCTCGACGATCAGGTTCCAGACCACTCGCCAGCGCTCATTTCCAGCCGGACTCATGGCGGGTCGGGTGGAGGCGACAATGGGCCTGGAACGAGCTCGGAGGCCGGAGGCGGTGCCGACGACGCGCCGCCGACGTACGAGGCGCTCGAGGGTCTTGTCATCAACTCGGCGTACGATCCGGCCACCGGTCTCTCGAGCGGGGACAAGGACTCGCGGGTGTTTGGCGACGACGAGGCCGGGCCGGCCGACGACGACGAGGCCGGCCCGTCGGACGGCGTGCCACAGGCGAGCCGATTCACTGAAGACTCGCTCGTCCTTGTCCCTGCGCGAGTCATCACCGGGTTTGTTGAGGTGCCTGGCGAGTTTGAGCTGACCTCGTCGCGGATGTTCTTTCGGACGGCACACCCTGCGGCAGACGAAGCACTGGCGAGTGCCGTGCCCGAGTACTTGCTTGCGTCTGGGAGCCTGCGCGATGAGCTTCTCCGCGACCGGGCGTGGGAGATGGATGCGCTGGCCAAGGTCCACGGGCGGCGGGTGCTGCTCCGGCCGCGCGGACTCGAGCTGTTCTTTGTGGATGGCTCCTCAGTGCTGCTCGGCTTTGACACTGAAGGCGACCGCAAGACTATTATCCGGGCGGTGAGCAACCTCAAGCCACGCAACCTGGTGGAGGTGCACGCAGTAGCGCCTGCGCTGCTGGCCAAGGCGGCCAAGGTGACCGAGGCGTGGGTGGCGCGGGAGATCAGCAACTTTGACTACCTGATGGCGCTCAACACGCTCGCCGGGCGGAGCTACCACGACCTCTCACAGTACCCGGTCTTCCCGTGGGTTCTCGCCGACTACGAGTCTGAGAAGCTATCGCTTGACGACCATGCCGTCTATCGCGACCTGTCCAAGCCGATTGGGGCACTCGACGCGGAGCGGCTGGCGTACTTTGAGGAGCGGTACGCGTCGCTGGAGGAGGCGGATCCGTCGGTGCCAGCCTTTCACTACGGCTCGCACTACTCGTCGCCCGGAGTAGTGCTGTACTACCTCGCGCGGCTCGAGCCGTACACCTCGATGTTTGCGCACTTTAACGGCGGCAAGTTTGACCACGCCGACCGGATGTTCCACTCGATGGCGCGGACGTTCTCGGGCGTGCTGCACTCGACGGCAGACGTGAAGGAGCTCATTCCAGAGTTCTACTACTTGCCGGAGATGTTCGAGAATGTGAACGAGGTTGATTTCGGGGTGCGCCAGGACGGGGTCAGGCTCGACAACGTGATTCTCCCGCCGTGGGCCGAGACGCCGCAAGAGTTTGTTGCCATCCACCGGCGGGCGCTCGAGTCCGAGTACGTCTCTCAGCACTTGCACGAGTGGATCGACCTCATCTTTGGGTGCAAGCAGTGGGGCGAGGCGGCGGTCGAGGCGCGCAACGTTTTCCACTACATGACCTACGAGGGCGTGGTGGATTTGGAGGCGATCGACGACCCGATGCAGCTGGCGGCGGCCGAGGCGCAGATTGCCAACTTTGGGCAGACGCCGTCGCGGCTGTTTGACGGCCCGCATCCGGCGCGCGGGCCACGGACGGTGGGCCCGGGCCGCGAGCTCGTGCCGCGGGTGAATCCGGCCAGGCTCTCGTCGTACCTCGGCGACGGGCCTGTGCGGGTGAGCGCGGTGCCGGTGGCGGCGGCGCTCGGGCTAGTGGTGCGGACGCCGTCCGCGCTTCGCGGGACGACGGCTGTCCAGCAAGCGCTGGTGGTGGTCAACGTGGATCAAGAAGTGGTAGTGGCAGTGGCAGAGCCGCCGTCGAGCGAGCGGGTGGCACCGCAGGTCGTGGTGGCGTCAGAGGCGGCGGTGCCGCTGGGACGGAGCCTTGCGCAGCGGATCGGCGCCGGCGCCGGTGGGCGGCTCGGGCAGTGCGTAGTGGCTGTTGACGCGCACGCGTTTGCCAACACTCGCACGGTGGCGAGTTCTGCGGCGTTCCCCGCGGTGACGCGGGTGCCGCGGTCGTCGCGGAGCAAGCTCGACGGCTGTCCCGAGGTGGTCATTTCGTGCGGGCACTGGGACAACACGCTGACGGTGACGGCGATCAAGGGCGACGGCGGGGCGCGGGTACTGCAGCGGGTGAGCGTGGGCATGGACTCTGTGATCCAGTGTGTGGCAGCGTCACGGAGCGGCGGGCTGGTGGCGACCGGATGCGCGCAGTCGCAGGTGCTAGTGTGGTCGCTGGCACCAGGTGCGCATCCGTCGGGTGCCAAGCGCGGCACAGTGCTTGCGGCGCATCCGCACGCGATGCTGTACGGACATGAGTCGGGAGTTGTGGCGGTGGCGGTGGAGAGCAGCCTCGATGCGGTGGTCTCGGGCGCAAGCGACGGACGGGTGCTGATGCACTCGCTCTCGGACGGCGAGGTGATGCACGAGCTGGTGGGTGCGGGTGGCGGTGCGGTGGCGTTTGTCGGCCTCTCTGCGCTCTCGCACGCAGTGAGCTACCACGCCGAGACTGGTGCCGTCCGAGTCTTTGCCTACAACGGGGAGCTTCTGTGCGAAGAGGAACTCTCGTCGGGAGCGTCGGCCATGCTTCTCTCGTGCGATGGGCGGTACCTGTACCTGGCCAGCGACGAGGGCGAGGTCGAAGTCCGCGCGCTGCCGCTCCTTGATCTCGTGCATGTGTACGATGCGGTGAGCACGGAGATCGTGAGTGTGGTGGAGGACTCGAGCGGCGAGTACGTGTACGCGGTGGCCAGCGACGGGCGGGTGATGGTCGGCGGCGTGGCCGAGTGGCAGTAATGAACTGTAGCGCGCCAGCCTTTACAGGGCTACGACGGGATGGTGGTGGAGACGATGGAAATGGGATTGAGCGGGCGCGACGAGTCGTCGACAGGCACCTTTTCGATGGCGAGGACGACGTCCAGGCCCTTTGTGACGCGGCCAAAGATGGTGTGCTTGCCGTCGAGCCAGGGGGTGGGGACGGTTGTGATAAAGAACTGCGAGGCGTTGGTGTTAGGCCCGGCGTTGGCCATGGAGAGGACACCCGGGGCGTCGTGCTTGAGGGTGGGCACAAACTCGTCGGCAAAGTCTGCGCCCCAGATGGACTCGCCGCCAGTGCCGTCGCCATCGGGGTCGCCGGTCTGGATCATGAACGATTTGATGACGCGATGGAAGACGACGCCGTCGTAGTACCCATCCGCGCAGTGGGTGGTAAAGTTCTTGACGGCCTTGGGAGCGGCGTCCGGGTAGAGCTCGAGGTGGACGTCGCCCATGGTGGTGTGGAGGACGACGGCGGCCGGGCCGGCAGCCGAGCCGGTGGCCTGCCCGGCGGCGCCGACGACGGTGACGAGCTCCTCGCGGGTGGGCTTCTCGTTAAAGACGTCGCGAGCGTCGTCGGCGTCGTCGGTGTCGAGGACAGGCTCGCGCGAGGTGAAGAGGTAGAACCGCGGTTTGCCGTAAGCAGCAGCAAAAAGGGTGGGGTCCTCGTGGGCGTCGTCGTCGTTGCGGACGGTGGCCATGGCGGACGAGCCTGCGCCGATGCGGACAAGCTTGGGCGCGCCCTGGAAGAGGGTGAGGGCGAGGAAGCGCTCGGACGACTCGACCTTGCCCAACAGGCGCTCGACGCGATTCGAGCGGAGGTTGACGACCTTGACGCCGGCGAGAGTCGGGTAGAGGAGGAAGCGCGAGGAGGCATCAAAGACGGCGTTGGAAGGCGGCGGGCCGGGCGGCGGGAGCGAGTCGCCGGCGGCGACGGCGGCGGCGAGGGCGGCGGCGGCGGCGGCGGCCTCGTTGTCGAGTGCCTTTTCGAGGGCAAAGCGACGGCCAAAGTCGATGTTGTCGAGGACGTAAGGCGAGGCCGGAGTCTGCTGGGCGCGGGCGACGACGGCGAGTGACTCGTCGTACTCACGGTAGAGCTTGCCGGAGAGGAAGCGGAAGACGCGGACGTGGCGGTCCGAGGCCATGATGGCGAAGAGCTTGCCGTTGGGCGAGACGGCGAGCGAGGTGGCGACCGCGCCGGCGTCAGCGAGGGCGTAGAGAGCGGTGTCGCTCTTGAGTTCGTAGTCGAGGTAGTCGGGGGTGGCGCCATCGACGGGCGACCAGGTCTCGATGCCGCCGGCCATGTCGACCGAGACGACGGCGTCAAAGGCGGCGTTGTAGGCGAGGGCGGTGATGGGCGCGGTGTGCGGGAGGCGAAGGCGGTGGAGCGAGGCGAGCGGATCGGGCGCAGCCGGATCCAGAAGCCACACGCCAGGCTCTGCGGCATTGACATCGGCGAGGGCCAGGACGGGCGAGCCTGCGAGGAGCGGCGAGACAAAGGCGGCGGTGAGGACGACAAAAGGGAGCTTGACGATGGCGATCATGTCAAAGTTGACAATGTCAAAGAGCTTGACGACATGGCCATGAGCATGCTCAGCCGACTCGCCCACCACCACCAGCCGCCTCCCGCAGACAGAGACGGCCAGAGCCCGGAGCGATGCCGAGAGAGCCTTGTACTGCTTGACAAACTCGATGCCTGCAGGCGTCTTGTACCAGAACTTGACCACGCCATCCTGGGAGGCAGTGATGAGGTAGTCGGTGTGGGAGACGGCGAGTGCTGCCACAGGCGTCCGATGCATGTACGACCGCTCGTACATGGTGGCCTTGGGCAGTCGGGCCAGGGCCTCACTCCCTGGCGCCGACGAGGAGGTGGTGGTGGTGGAGGTGGAGGGTGTGGCCGTGGTGGCCGAGGTGGACGACTTGCGTGACCTGCGTCGCCGCCGGCTGGAGTGTGCCAGTGGCTTGGCCTTCTTGGTGGCGGTGGGGTTGGGCGCAGGGGGTGAGGGTGACCGCTTGCGGCGGGGCATGGTGAGGTGGGGGGGGGGTGGGGGTGGGGGGTGGGGGGAGTCGACGAAGTGGTGGA